GTCGACCTTGATAACGTTTCTGAAGGTCATTCCAAAGTCAAACAATTATCAATATCTGATAGCTTTTTTTAAGCCCTACAACTTTTGTTTCAAACATTGTTTAAAATAATCATTCTTTTTTTAAATAATTAGCCGTTTCGGAACTTTTGGCAGACCCGGTATAATTTGATATTCTGTGTTTCAAAGAGATCTTTTCAACAACGCCTAACAATATATAAAGATGCAATAAGTTGGGTTAGAATTTTGTTTGGGAAGGGGGTGCGGGGGAGGGGCGGAGCTCCTCCCCCGCTTATATGTGCTGTTTAACATTTTAACAACTCACGACTAAGAGATATATAACTTAAAACACAATGGTCGGTATTCATAGTCAGCTATCTTAAGTTCATTTTCAGATGCTGTACGAATTATTTCATTGGCTACGGGGTATCTGAAGATGACGCAGTGTCGAAAAATTACGCTCGATTAATGAAAATTCTATTGTTAATAACTTTTTAACAAACAACGAGCGCCGCCTACAACTTTTTGCACGTTGCTCAGGATGATGACCTTGATAACATGTGTCATATACTGTATAATTACCAAAAAATATTACTTTTACATACTATATAAAGCGCATGCTGATGCTTTTGCACATGATACATGCTATCTTGCGTACAGAAGAATGGTAATAAAATATATCTATTGGATCCGCCTTACTAATCAGATGAGTACAATATGCTAAAGATAATACTGACAAGGGGAAGACGCATCGACCGGGAACGGTTTGGAACGAAACTTACGGAGTTAATAGTACTTGACTACTAATAACTCATGGTAATAGCATACGATGCAATATCTCTTCGTTTTCGAGAAAAAACAGTCTAAAGAAAAGAGCCAACAAAGTGTACGATTTAGTAAGAAGGGTATTCAAAGAAACAGTAACGGACTACCGAGCTGACGGCTGAGGTTCGATCTCCGCTGTATGGTTTTTTTATTCTGTAAGCATAAAAATGAAACAGAAAACATTAATAAATAATAAAACTGCGTTTCTTAAATATATTAGTGTTTGTTAAATATATTATTAATGATTTAAATTGCAAAAAAACCGTAAATCTTATCTGTAAAATGTATAGTATATGAGAAAATTTTTATATAATAATTGCAATGGAAATAGGAGTAAAAGTATATTATATTTTCGCTGGAGGATTTTTTGATAATAATTCATTACTCTCGTAAATAGAATTCGCATATGGGGCATTCCATATGAAGTGATATACCCAAATTTTCAAAGTTGTACGATTATGCTGAAATTTGCACAAATTGTAGTCCTATCACAACTAAGATTTTTGGCCAAATTGTTTGACTCACGACCAACGGGTTGTCTAGTAACAGAGGCTTGAAGTTTTAGCATTTGGGCCGTTGTGTCCAACTTCAAACGCTGGTAAGTTCCAGTAGACTATTCCGATTTTCAAAAACAAGGAGTGATTTCTAAAGGTCTTTTTGCGCCCTTTAATCCTATGAAATCAGTTTTGTTTTTAAGTCAAAATTTATTAAAAATTTTTGAAGGATAAGAAAGAAATTGTTTTTTTTCAAATTCAGACATCTTTGATTTTCTTCGAAAATATCTTTAAAAAAAGTAGAATTCTTGCCCTTTAAAATAATTCCAAGATCAAAATGGGCAGACTTTTAGTTTTCAAGATACAGCTTGTTTTAGGACCGAGCGCGTCACGCACGGTGCAGCTCGGCCGCTGTTGCAAGTGCCACGGATGATCCGATCAGTTCTATTGCTTGTGGCCAGACGTGATGTGATCTGTGTCATATATCATATATATATATATATATATAATCAAGCCATTTACTATAATATATAAACACCAGCAGCTTCTCTTTGCTAGGCCCATTATCACATCTTGATTAAGGGTCACTTTTATTTTGATATCCTTATAACCACCGCGATCTTGCCTTCATTTCCTGGATCAACCACCAATCTTGCTTTCGTTTGTCGGATTACCCGCCGATTTTACCTTAGTTGGCTAGTTTAGACATCTTATCATAAAAACCTCGATAACCTTGAAACGGCTGACCCAAAGTGAATATAATTATAATATTTTGAAAGGGTCTGAATAAGAGGACTATAAGAATATGCAATAAAAGATGTAGGATTACATTTAAAAAATTCGAGGTAATTTTCATTTGACCTTGGCAACGCAACCCAAGGTCAAACTGATAAAGCTAATAAATAGTTTTAAGATAAATACTTTTATCTAAAACATTTTTCTTATAAAACTTATATGAATATAACTTATATAAATATAAGTTTTATAAGAAAAATGTTTTAGATAAAAGTTGTAAGACTTAAAACTATTTATTAGCTTTATCAGTTTGACCTTGGGTTGCGTCGCCAAGGTCAGATGAAAATTACCTCGAATTTTTTAAATGTAATCCTACATCTTTTATTGCATATTCTTATAGTCCTCTTATTTAGACCCTTTCAAAATACTATAATTATATTCACTTTGGGTCAGCCGTTTCAAGGTTATCGAGGTTTTTATGATAAGATGTCTAGCCAACTAAGGTAAGATCGGCGGGTAATCCGACAAACGAAAGCAAGATTGGTGGTTGATCCAGGAAATGGAGGCAAGATCGCGGTGGTTATAAGGACATCAAAATAAAAGTGACCCTTAATCAAGATGTGATAATGGGCCTAGCAAAGAGAAGCTGCTGATGTTTATATATTATAGTAAATGGCTTGATCATATATATATATATATATATATGATATATGACACAGATCACATCACGTCTGACCACAAGCAATAGAACTGATCGGATCATCCGTGGCACTTGCAACAGCGGCCGAGCTGCACCGTGCGTGACGCGCTCGGTCTTAAAACAGCTGTATCTTGAAAACTAAAAGTCTGCCCATTTTGATCTTGGAATTATTTTAAAGGGCAAGAATTCTACTTTTTTTAAAGATATTTTCGAAGAAAATCAAAGATGTCTGAATTTGAGAAAAAACAATTTCTTTCTTATCCTTCAAAAATTTTTAATAAATTTTGACTTAAAAACAAAACTGATTTCATAGGATTAAAGGGCGCAAAAAGACCTTTAGAAATCACTCCTTGTTTTTGAAAATCGGAATAGTCTATTGGAACTTACCGGCGTTTGAAGTTGGACACAACGGCCCAAATGCTAAAACTTCAAACCTCTGTTACTAGACAACCCGTTGGTCGTGAGTCAAACAATTTGGCCAAAAATCTTAGTTGTGATAGGACTACAATTTGTGCAAATTTCAGCATAATCGTACAACTTTGAAAATTTGGGTGTATCACTTCATATGGAATGCCCCATATACGAGAGCATTAGTGAATTCACCTTTAAAATCTTCATTTTCAAAAGATCTTTCTTCTAGCGATTCTACATCAACTATTTTGCTTGTTGAAGGATTCTCTGATATTGTTATGATATATGTAATTTAAATATGATCACCGAACTGCTCTGTATCACTAATAAACGCACACTGCTGCTTGCTCTACTGACGATTGTTCCGACGCTCGAATCATTTCGTCATTCCTAACGATCGTTTAGAATGACACAAAGGAAGTTTTTGGAGGAGGATTGCCAGAAGAGATAAAGAGCTTCAATACAACATAGAGAGTTGTAACAGAAACAAATATTTTATATATACAATATAAGATTACGAAAAATTATTTCATACTAGTTTAACCCTTTGCGGTCGGCCGATTTCGAAGAGATCGATATAAACATTGATATCTGTAAGTTGATCTAAACATTTGAATCTAGCATCGGAAGGATAGTTCTCTTCATTATTGCTAGCCTCGTTTGCCGTGCCGCGCACCAGGCGATCATGAATGCCAGTCTGGCGGCACCGACTTCTACGACGACTTGCGAATGCCGCCACTGTGGCGGCATCGAACGCAAAAGGTTAATAGCACTCCTATATATTTCATAACAATATTTTTATTCCTATTTCCATTGCAATTATTGTATAAAAATTTTCTCATACACTATATATTTTATAGATAAGATTTACGGTTTTTTTGCAATTTAAATCATTAATAATATATTTAACAAACACTAATATATTTAAGAAATGCAGTTTTATTATTTATTAATGTTTTCTGTTTCATTTTTATGCTTACAGAATAAAAAAAACCATACAGCGGAGATCGAACCTCAGCCGTCAGCTTGGTAGTCCGTTACCTTCACTGCTGCACTACGCCGCTTCGTTGAATACCCTTCTTATTAACTCGTACACTTTGTTGGCTCTTTTCTTTAGACCGTTTTTTCTCGAAAACGAAGAGGTATTGCATCGTATGCTATTACCATGAGTTATTAGTACTATTAACTCCGTAAGTTTCGTTCCAAACCGTTTCCCGGTCCATGCGTCCTTCCCTTGTGAGATTAGCAAGATCTCTACGCAAGGTGGGACGTACCATATGAATGTATTTAATTTTAATTTTTAGATTTTTTCCTACAAGATACTTAAACCCCCTCTTAATACCTTGTATGCATGTCTTCTTATAGCTAATTCTATTAATTGCTGCAAAAATACCGCGGTTTTTGATGGAGTCTGAACATTTACCCAAATTTTAAGGACGTATTCTAGGGATCAACATAAGAGAAAAGTCCCTATAAACATGAGTCCAAAAGTGCCTTTTGTCCAAGTTGTAGCCCCCTAAAGTTGGAGGGAAAAAGATCGTCAAAATTTTGCACAGCGTAATAATTAATAGTGACCTCGATAGTGACCTTCATTTTTATGTGGTTTTGACAATTTAGTTCGATTTTTTCCCCCCAACTTTAGGGGGCTATAAATCGGAAGGAAAGCATTTTTGGACTCATATTTATAGGAACTTCTTTCCTTATTTTGACCTCTAGAATACGCCCTTATTTTTTAATTTGTAACATACTTTTTGATACACCCTGTATATATAAGCTGTATTACACATGTGTGCGTCTCTTTTTCTCCTTTAACGTCAATTTCTGTTTTGTTTTTGCAGCCGTTGTTGCCCGATCGAGTGAGAAGAACCGCTGCGTCAGCCAATCATGGAAACAACCTCGGCATCCGGTCGCCGAGACTGACCGCCTTCGCAGAATTTCCGCCCAGGAAGTATTACGATTCGGTGAGGTTGTCCATATTGGATTTACGCTTAACGGCGCGCCGTTCGCCGTTCAGAGATCCTACAAATGCAAAGACTCTGCCAGACGCTTTTTCTGTAATAAATACAAATATATGAATATAGGATGTAAACGCGAGAAACAGAATGTACTGAGTCCCTGGATTTAGGTTGAGTCTTTTTCATTTTCTTTTTCTCGTTCCATATGAAAAAAAATGTCTTACAATATGATAACATTCTAAAACATACACGTGCAGGTTATTTCTAAATTAACATGGGTTTATGGGTTGAAGGAACTGGGAACATTAACATTGACTTCCATGTCAATTTCAATGCTCGACTGAAGTTTGAACTATCAAAGATACCAGAGCTACGGTAAATAAATGCAATTTACGGTACATATACTCGTTTTGGCTCGTTTAATTGGCTTCCTATTAGCTGTATATTTTATTTACCATTTATCATTGGAAATTGCAGATTGAAGATTTATTATGAAGGAAAATTATGCTTTTTATATGTAATTATACTTTTGATACGTAATTGGAGTGAAACATGGTAATATTACGGTGCAAGTCATTAGTGGCTATTATGATAATCAACTTATTAACTCTTTAAACATTGGATTTTTTCTAATTTACTAAAATAGCAATGCTTTTTTTTGCGAGAGAGAACGATGCTCTCTATAGAAATAAAATTAACATCTGATGTAAGAAAGAAGTTTGTAAAGGATGAGTAAAGTTTTAGAAATTACTTCTGCTGCCTACTTTATTTGTTGTGATGTTATTAACTGACAGCCATTTTGGGTTTGCTGCAAAGATTAACAAACTTTGTCCAAGTTACTTTTGTCCAATGAAAAATTTTTTTTCACCATATTCAACTTTAAAGTAAAGTGCCATAAAATTTCAAAACACTTTAGCCTCTATTTTTGCACATTATTTTATCGCTGATAAAGCGATACTATTGATCCAGAGAATTATTTAATCAACACAGGTTGTCTAAAATCTATAAATAATTGTTACATAACAAAATTTGCTTTACATACATATATTTACTGCAAATAAGTGATATGCCAATAAGTGAAGTGCTCAATTTTAAACGTAACAAGTTAAATATCTCGAAATTTAAATCGAGATCCGTTTCTTATTATTTCGAAGAGGACATATCTTGATAAAAAAAAGTTTTGATTTTAGGTGGAGATGTCAAAATAAAATAAAGGTCAAATTATTTCTTTAAACACCTACGCTTGTAACCCTTATCACGACGACTTTAATGATCACATATCTGAGATAATTAGAGGTCAAATAATGGAAAAAAGACTCGGAAGAAATTAACTTAGATTGTTATTTTTTAGATAAAATCCGAGAAATTGTTTATGTTAATCCTCCAACTACCAAGAAAAATAAGATGCAACGAACATGCGAAACATGTCAAATAATTTCCACGAGCAAATTACAAACTGCTTAATAATTTTTAACGAAGACCGCAAGCTTGCATAAATGTAAAAGAACAGCATTTTAAATTAATGGAATTTTTTATTCTAAAGAAAAAGACGCTTCTTCTTTGTAAGATTTTTTGTTCTTATTGAGAATTTATTAATAAAGTTTATTTCTTCTTTACTTTATTAAAGACAAGGACTATAAACGTAGATGTTCAAAAAATTAGAGTCCCGTTTAAAAAAATAATTTGATCTTTAGTTTGACTTTGACACTTTCGCCTAAAATCAAATTCTTTTTCCTTATTAAAATGTACCTCCTTCAAAGCAATACAACTTAAAACTGACCTCAATGTCATTTAGTTTTCGAGATGTTGGACCTTACGTTACGTTCAAAATTTAGCACCTTGTACATGCATATCAACAGACGTAGATCCGAAATAGTCCGGAGTTGTGTTCGGCTTGGGAAAAACCGAAATGCAAAAGCTGAGCGGCTTTCGCATTTTCTCAAACCGAATGCGAATCTCCTTGTGTCGTTATTACATTCAGCTCTTTAATCCTTCAATTAGAGTCTCCGACGAAGCGATTTGTCGACCATGACCTCGTTATGCTTGCACTTTGCGCATGATCCAGGAAAATAAAGAGAGACGGTTTATATGTTGGACACGAACGCAAGGAGGACCGCCGCGCGCGCCGAGAGAGTCTCGTCAAATATCTCCCGATGATGCATACCGGCCGGGCGTTACGCGGGTATGACGTCCTCGACGAGCGACAGGCGAAGACTCGAAGCGAACCGGTATCAGGATAGGAGCCAATGGCCGGCGGATAAGCGTCCGGTCGCCAAGTGATCTTTGCCAAACGAAATTTTCTACTCCACCGCCTCGCTCGCTCCCCCCTTATTGTTCTCCGTTGTCGTTGTCGTTGTCATCGCTGGACTCACGTGTTGGTGGAATCGGCGATCTCGTCCAAGGCTCGACGAAATGAAACGAGAGATATTTCAGCTACTAATAGCCACCCTGAATATTCGAGGACACTCTACGCGAATGTCGCTCGAATATCATCGTCGTCCGGCAGAATCGCAGAATAACGGCCGGCAGTGCGCGATGATCGCGAAACTACGAGGCTAGATTTAGCGCGGAATTCTCGTAGACCGGCTGCTCTCCAGGGTCTATATCCTTCTCTTTCTACCTACCGCACAGTCTCTGGGAGGGAAGCTGGAGGTCTGGGCCTGTTGGTGGCTATTGGGACCGAAATACGCGGCGGCGAGGATGCACCGACAAGAATTGTTCGCTCTCTCTTGCCTCGCTTTTTCCTCTCTCTCTCTCTCTCTCCCTCTCTCTCTCTCTCTCTCTCTCTCTCGCTCTCTTGGTCTCGCTCTCTTTCTCCCCTTCCCCCCTTCCTCTCTCTCGCGCGCGCATACTGCCGCTCACGCTCACGCTCGGCAGCGGAGATAAATCTTCGTTGTCGTACAGTCAGTTCAAGTGATGCGCGCGCCTCATGAGACTTTCGGACTGGACATCGCCCTTTTCTCGAGCTCATTGAAAGTTCAAGGAAAAGAGCAGTAATCGTGCTTGAATGCTGTGCGAATACAACTGCATTCAGAAAGCGTAACTATTCGGGACAAGTTATATGGTTGTTTTGTATGTTAGTTCCATCAATGACAGCCATCTTTCAAGAGGACAGCGGGGAGAGGGCTATTGCCGTGCTTCTTATGAATTTTTTTTCAAAATTTCGTTGTAAACATCGTCAATATCTCGGTTTACTTCGTTAGAGGAAGAAGCAATTTGAGACATGGCGTCGCTCTTCAGTAAATATCTCCTTAAAAATCTCTCCTTAGTAGATATGTTGAGTAAACATATAGGAGAGGAGAGTACATGGATGGAGAAAAATTTCATTTGGTTTAAGAAACATGAAATCGGAAGGAAAACATTGTCGAATTGGACGGGTTTTTTGTTCACTGCTTTTATTAAAGCTACTGCAAACAGAAAAATATATACTTGTTTAAAGTATTTCGTAAGTTTATATATCTGCAATCTAAGCATCAAATTTATTCAAAATACGTTCAAACATCTAGTAAGTTTCGCCAAAGATAAATTAAAGATTAAATTAAAATAAAAATTCCGTTTATTATACTTATATAAAGTTTGAGTTTTATAATATTCTTGAAAGGAAAATTTTTTTATTATATGAAAATAAGTTTGTCTTAAATTTGAGACTGCCATTAAGAGACTGTTATTAAGAAAATATTCCTTGTTGAAGATAATCATCATTCAAAAAAAGGAAAATAAACTAAGTAATAGAAAGTTTTTCTCTCAATAGTGAAATGATATTTTTCTCTGTATAAAACGCTTATAACGCTTACAACGCTTATACATTTTTGAGAGAGAAACAGAGAAGAAAGAGAGAGAGAGAGAGAGAGAGAGAGAGAGAGAGAGAGAGAGGGAGAGGGAATGGGGAGAGGGAGCGGGAGAGAAAAAGAAAGAGAGTTCCTCATTTTAGCACTTTGAGGTATAGGATGTTAAGACAAAAAAGACTCTTGTACTGAAATTTTATTGTAAAAATATAACATAAAGTAGATTTGTTTTATTTATAAACGATGAAATAAACCTGTACTTCGAGTTATCTTAATATTCCAAGGTGGGACGAAAAATATCCCACTGTGCATATATAAATATTAAAAAGGCACGACACTTTTTATCCTATTATGTCCCAAAGAGTCAATTGACGACAAATAAATAAGTAATAAGCTCCGGACGGTAGCAGATGCGAAGGCAGTTACAAACAGCCAGCATCTCGTGCCCGGACGAATCGGTCTGGCGACACTTCGACCGTGATAGCAGTTGCATTCGGTGCCGGTGTCGCACATCTGCCAAGAACCCGGACCGAAATTAAGCCGAACACGCCGTGCTGTTATCATTAACGTAAAACGCACGCACACGTGTACCGGCGGGATGAGATTATCTGGATTACATGCGAATGTAGAAGAAGTCAGTATCGACGATGACGCGAGCAGCCTGTGACGCGCGTACGTGATAATATCCCGCGAAGATGCAAAGTGCCGCACGTGGTGTCCATCCCGGCGCGGCGGCTGTCGCGTTACGTAACGGCGGTTATACCGCAAATCGATATCGTTGCACGATGTTATGATAAGGAAAATATTGCCCGACATTCAATATCTCTTGCGTGTCCGAACCAACAGTTATGAGATAACAGACCAGATTAGATTTTTGCGTAATTCTTTTTCATCTACGCTCGCATGTATCAAGGTGAATGTAACGAAATATCTCTGCACATGCCCCTAACTCAGGAGACGTTTGTTACAATTGTTTGTATTTGTCTTAGTTAGAGTCTCTGATTCTTTATGTGGCACGTTTCTTCTACCTGATAGATTTCTGTGAAATCTTGCATTTTTATGTTTTTTGAATCAGTAATTACAAATCTGAAGTCAGATTTCAAAAATTCAAAATAGTAAATTCAATATGGCTGTCATATAGGGATAAATTAATTTCTGGATAAATATAAATCAGATATATGATATAAGGTTTCTCAGATCGTTAATTACGAATTTCATGTCAGATTCATAAAATTCATTCAAATAATCTGTTTACAAATAAAATCTAGCTTGCAAAAAATTCTGGAAAAAATATATATTATTTGGCATATAAAGAATATATTCAGTAAAATTTTCAGCCTTTAATCTTAAATACTTTCTAATGAATTAAATTTTTTTGAAGTTGCTTTTTCCAACTTTATTTCTTTATAAATCATTGAAAATGAACAATCGAATTTAAAAACCATAAGAATCATGTAAAAGTAGATATTAATATATCAGAAAAATGCGGGTTTATACTTATTTTCATTAAATTGTAAACAGTACATCGTAAAAATGAAAGAGAAAAAATAGTAAGTATATTTACTATTGCCATACAAAAGGTTCAAGAAGAGGGAATAATCTGATTTTTTTTTAGAACTATAAATTTTTGACTGGGAAAGAGATAAACTCTTCATTTTAATCAATGACGAATAAGGGAAGCTTCGGATCACAAGAGATGTAGTGATACAATTATGAGTTTTTAATAGCAATAATATTTTTAAAAGAAATAACAATAATAATTAGTAATAATAATTATTAATTATGATATGATATTGTGATGTTATCAATTATTGTATTAATTTTTTCAATAGAATAAAAATATTTTTTCTCGAATTTCAC